TTAGCATAAATACAAATATTAAACTTAAAATAATAATTTCTTCCGTAAAGATAAGGCAAAAACTCTATTAAATAGCAAAATACTGGTAGTTTACACAGATCTAAATACTATTAAACTTATTAATTGTCAACAGTAATGGCTCCCTTGGCTCCCTATTGACATGACTCCCTGTATTGGCAAATTTAATCTAGCATGTCTTTATAATTTTGGAATCCCTCCAAAAGAGACTGAATTCCATCCAAGCTGTGCCTGCCATCAAGGCTGTGCGTGCCCCGAGCCTATAGTACCACGTTTGAACGATGAGATGCCCACCATCACCGTCAAGATCCTGCAAGAACATACTACATTTCATCAACCGGCAAGGATAAGAGAAAAAAAGAAAGCAGTAATATAAAGCAGCAGTCATCTCACCCACATTCCCACAACAATGCAGAGCACTCCCATTGATCAACCCTTCAAACATCAAGCCTCTAGAAGCAGCTCTGTGACAGAGCTAAGATAAATGCTCATGTGCGCCTTATGGACATAGGGACTTCCAACCTACATGTGAAAACTCCAATCTATGACTTGCAGGAGCAGGTCAGGCACTGATCTAAATTCTATTCCTGGCCACAAGTGATCAGGGCGAAGACTCCAAGTCTATGCTTTGGAGATTTACAATGTATCAGGCATCCCTAACACGTCATCCCCCACGTCAGCTTGACACGTTTTCTTGACGCTAGAGTTTAGGGTCTCGATGGAGGCTAGTCGCGGATCAAATTCTTAGCGAGCTCCAGCTCCGGTGCAGTGAGGGAGGAAAAGCCAAAAGTGAAGTGTCTTAGCAAATCAATGCCACATGGGATTAACATATGTAGACACGACTCGTGCATGGCCTTACACTACATGCATGTTACAACTGTCAGCCACTATACTTTTGGCCAGTAAAAGCATGTCTACTGACGCTAGCTTAGGGACGGCTGTGAGAAGTTGAATGAAGTACTCAAAAGAAAATCCATTGCTATAAGTCCATATGTGTAAGGAAGTTCACGTTAACTTTGCATTCTAATAATAATAAAAAATCCCAGATGAATTGCCTGAAGACTCGGGCAAACCCTTGCGATCAGCTTTCTGGAAGCTTTTTTTTCAAATTTGTCTTCATGACAACATTGAGCAGTGTTCAGCCCGACCGCTGCATCCACTGGCTCTGCGGATGTGAAGCACTGGGAACCATACAAAGCTTTGTTGACAAGGTCTCATTGCACAAGAACTTGTCCAAGGGACGATATTCATTTGGGCCTTGCTCCATCTGCGTCACCATTGCATCTTTGGTGTTGACACATCTTTATGCTCCATTTATGGCCACCATCATCTGTGTCAACATATTAAGAGGCCTAAGCCTGAGAATGCGGGGATCAAGAAGAAGCGAGAAGAGATGACTCGGAGTTGAATGCCCTGATAACGTGCTGCTAGCTGGGAAATATGCCGGCAAGCATGCATTCAAACCCGCGAATAAGAAGTGGTATGAGCCGCATTAGTGACAGGCAGGAACATAATAGTCAACTTACATTAAAACTGTTCGGCACGGCAAACATCTGCTGCAGCCAGATTCACGCACTTTATTCTATTTCATATATATCTGAGAGCATCTGTCCGATGGCGTGCCACATCAAACGGTGATGGAGGTGTAGTTGCTGGCAGTCTCCTCGATTTCTCCACAAGCGTTCCTCCAGCAGGGTCCAGCGATGCAGTTCCCTTTGCCGCAGTAAGCACGCCCGGTTCCACACCAGTTGAACTTGCTGCAGCAGCGACCAGGATTGCAGTACTGACGTCCTGCGGGGCTGCAGGTCGGATCAGCATTGACGACGAAGTTGGGGGCTACAAGTAGCATGATCAACAGAGACAAGCCAAGAGGTGATGCAAACGCCATTCTGAGTAGAACAAGGATTACAAGCGCGGTAGAGAAAGATGGAATTGCCTGAGAAGCTTTGAGGAGCTGGAGAGAAAATGAGAGGCCCTTATATAATCGGGAAGTTGTGGTTGAGCACGCAACTTGAAACGTAGAATAATGGATGTCTACGGATTGTTTAGAGCTGAGCTGCGTCTATAACTTGCTTAACTATTTAAATATACTGTTTTTAGAGCTTGCCGTAATACCAGCTTAGTTTATTGCAACTGGGAGGCCTGTGAATCGTTTACAGTAGCTTACAGACAAAACTGAGACTGTATGGAGAAAACTTCTCACAGATACTGTATGGAGAAAACTTCAATGCGCATCAAACTCCACAAGACAGTGGCTATTTATATCTACTGTTTTCACAGTGGGCATCATTTTTGTTCTCTCCTGGTGATTGTTTGTTTCTGGTGGTCACAAGGCTAGTAATTTTCCCAGGTACCGCCCATATGTATGGACATGTAGTCTGTTTGTTTGTTTGTTTGTTCTGGTGGACATTTTTTTATTAACCAGATGGCATGAACCTGAGGCCTACATCCATCACCATACTAGCCCACTGTGAAAACACTAGAAGAAAATGAGGATTTACATGGGCACTGTCTAGTGGTGTTAAAGAGTTAGGCCAACTCTTTAATGCGGATTGAAGTCTCCTCCATACAGTCTCTGTTTTGTCTGAAAGATACTGTAAGAGATTTGCATCCAGTATTATACTTTTTTAATTGCAAGTCATCCACAGAAGCTAATATGACTTCTGTGACTTTATATATGTAAAGCTGTAGTCCATTTGTGTTTAAGAAGCATGGGACCCCATCTACATGAATGTAATGCATTGTTCCTCTCTCTCAGGTTCTATAATAACAAATTTAAAAAGCTAAGCAAATTATAAATGTAGCTCAACTCTAAAAAATTAGTTAGGTTTTATTTATCGGGCAATATAAACACAAAAATTACTGGAGGAACTTTACAATAATCCATGTACAAATGGAAAAACCATGGCATAACTGGAAAGAGAGAATCGAAGGAATGTAGAAACTGGACGCCAAGGCATCGAGTGCGAATAGTTCCTGCTTAGCGTTCAAAGGCTGGCTACCAGGTCTCGATAGAAGTCCAAGTTCAAGGACTAATGAATCCAAGATCTACGACCAGGCACACGCTGCCACAGTTTCGGACAGGTAGTTGTCACCGGACATGTCCACTCTGTGAGTTGGAATCTTGCGTCTACTTAGAAAGAACATCATCTAGCCTTCCTCAACAAAAAAACCACTGGAAACCCTGCAGCACCGCTCTCTACTCTTTAGGTAAATGCAATGCCTAAATTATATACCACTTTAGTTGAATTCTATCCCAGCCGAGCTCTTACATGAACAGGGTTTGTGTGGCAAAATTGGGTCACGGCAGGGTCCCAGGTTTTCCTTCCAGCCCTCAAGCCGATAACAATGCGTTGCCCAGGCGGAGTTTCATTCCAGCATTCACTCTCTTCTCGTGGGCGGTTTGTAGCAATTCCAGTGGAAATGCCAATGCGGCAGCCAATGGGGTTCCCATGATGGTGGAGCCAGACCTTCCAAAGTAGCTCCTCTTCTGGCATTGATAACGTTTAAACCTGTGCTCGTTGTTTCTATGTTGTTCCAGATTTCGCAGAACATCCAGTGGTCTCAAAATCCAAGGTTCGATTATCATTGTTCTCGCGAAGTTCCAATCTTTTCTGTGGCAGAAGTTTCCGAGGGAATTGGACCGGAAGCTCGCAGAGGCCGGATTGTGGAGTTTAACTACGTGTGCCGCAGATCAAATGGCTACTACGTCTACAGGTACACTTGCGATTTTATCGATATTTCAAAACCACACTCTCTTTTGGGATTCTGTGTTTCACCTCGCAGCACGATGGATTCATTTAATAAGGACAGTGAGCCAGTAACACTCGCGCTAGGCGAAGGAAAGGTCTGAATTTTTCATTCCATTCAATAGTTTTTTCTTCTTTACGTTGTCTTTAAGACTTTTGTTTTGATTGCTCCCAGCTTATCTCGGGATTGGAAGAGGTGATTACTGGAATGAAATCCGGAGGTAAGTAAGACCCAAGAAAAAGAAGAGAAACAATGCTAATTTTTAATTCTCAGGCAAAAGAAGAGTGCTCATACCTCCCAGCCTTGGGTATGTTTCTCCAGATCTCGAGCCCCAGCCCCCAGAGGTAGAGAGATCCAAAACGAGTTTAATCTCATTTTTATCTTGTTTTGGTCAGTTTGGGCCTCGAAGAAGCCTCATGGCTCACGCAAAAGAACCCCTCGTCTTCGAGATCCAGCTCGTGAGAGTTTCTCAATAAAGAGGCGGATCCAACGGCCCTGCGACTATTCCGATCTAACGGCTCCGAGTGAATATATAAAGACTGCGTTGCAAGAGCCCTAAATTCAGGACTCTAGGGTTTGATAGTGCGATGACGACCGCGGCGAGGCCGACGTGGGCGCCGGCCAAGGGCGGGCAGGAGCAGGGCGGCACCAGGATCTATGGTACGTCCCAGAAATTCTCGGCGCGGGATCTTCCGTCGCACACGCTGCTCAAGACGCGCAAGGAAGGGCAGGGCACGACAGAGGAGCTCCAGCGCAAGGATCTCCTGTCGGACCTTGAGGGGCGGGAGCGCAAGCACTTCGATTCCAAGCTAGATCCGGATGCGCCGCCGCGGGAGCCCGGCCAGCTGCTCCTGGAGGGGGCCGATCGAAGGGAAGGGGGCGATCGAAGGGCTGCCGCCGCCGCCAAGAGCCTCGACGCGGATGATTCGGACGAAGATGGTAGCGGCGCCAGCGATGAGGAGGATGAGGACGAGGAGGACGAAGACGCGGCGCTGGTGGCGGAGCTGGAGAGGATCAGGAAGGAGCAGGCGGCCGAGAAGCTGAGGAAGGAGAGGGAGAGGCAAATGGAGGATGCCAAGGCCAAGGAGGTGGAGCTGGCTCAAGGGAATCCTCTTCTCAATGGCAGCGGCGGTGGTGGCGGCGGCTCGTTTGCCGTGAAGAGGAGGTGGGATGATGATGTTGTGTTCAAGCACCAGGCTAGAGGCGAGCCCAAACAGGTGAAGCGCTTCATCAACGATACAATCAGGAGTGATTTCCATCGCAAGTTCTTGAACAAGTACATGAAGTAGGCGAGGAGCTGGTCGCGATCTTGGATGATATGTGCAAGCTCGCTCGGGTGCAATGCTCGCCTGGAAAAGAAAGAGTAAGATTCTCAGAGAGAACCATGTACGTAGTTGGAAACGATGTATTTACTTTGATCACTGCAAACTGTTTCGCAGAGTTTCTTTAGCGAAAACATGATCGCCGTGTTCTTGTCAGTCTTGTGCCACGAAGGGATGTAGTAAAAGCTGCCAAGGAATGTCAGTGACATGAAAGCCAAGCACGGGACTGGGATCATACCTGGCTTGCAGTCGGTCGCGATCTCGCTTCCAAGTTAAAGCACTGCTGCAAGAAATCTTTGGCACCTTCTGATGCGTCCGCTGGTACTGGAGGCCCGCTGCTGGCTTTCGCAATGTGGAAGATTGCCGTCCAGGTGTTGTCGATTCCGGGCCACGGATGTCTGGAAAGCTCGCAAGTTTGTGGAACAAAGAACCACTGTGGAAGAGAACAGTTTACGTACGTGGCTGTAAGCATTTCTATGACTGTGCAGCCAACACTCCAGATATCGGCACGCCGCCCATAGCCGTCGCCCTTGATAACCTCCGGGGCCATCCAAAACACGGAGCCCCGTATTGACTTGCAGCCGTCTGTGATCGTTGGATCGTGGAAAGCCTGCAGAAATGTGGTGTTGAAGAGAAAGAAGTAAGAACTTCGTTTACCTTGGAGGCTCCAAAATCCGCTAGCTTCACAACACCATCTGCATCCACGAGAACGTTGCCACCTTTGATATCTCGATGGACGATTTTGTTGGCATGGAGGTACTCCAGGCCCAGTAGAAGCTGGCGCGTATATATTCTAACCAAGGACTCGCTGAAACGGCCGAATCTTTCCAACATGCTGTGCGCAATGGCACATCACAGAAGATCTTGCAAAATGAAACAAAGGTTACCTTTGGATGGAACCGCCTGACACGTATTCGAGGAAAATGTAGAGGAGATTGTTGGCTTCGTCCTGTTCCATGGCGATGTATCCCACGATATGTCTGTGCCTCAGCTGCTTGTACAAGTCGATCTCTCTTTCCAGAGAAGCTAGATAAACGGCTCTTGATTGTCCGTCGGTGGGTTCAATCTTCAGCTGCTTGACTGCCATGAGCTCGCCAGTCGTTTGGTTGAGCCCGGCAAAGACCTGAAATCAAAAGTTGATAAAACCAGAGCTGTAGTAGCAGCAGTACCTTTCCGTAAGCACCTTCACCAAGCAGTTCACCCCTGGTCCATCGAAATGATCCGCGTATTTGGAGATGCTTTTCTTTTTCTTCCCGTGGAGAATTCTCTGGTGGCAGACACTTCCCTTCACATCCTTCGTTTCCACAGCCAACACACCCGGCTCGGGCGGCATCGTGCCAGTCTTTCCGAATCAACGAGAGTTCTTCATCCGTTGGAGGTATAAACTTGACGGATTTCTTTTCTCTCTTTCGTTCGGCTTCAACGGGTTCGTGTTGGTTTATGTTTGCCTCCTCAGTTTTCTCTTGCGGCTTCTCTTGTTGAGGTCTTATGAACGAATTCGGCACTAGATGGCTAATACGCGAGGGACTCTCCAGCCCGTCACTTCCACTGAGGCTCTCCTCGTCGTGAGCTCTTTCGGATATGTTTGGGCTGAACAGTTCTTCTGGACCACGTTCTCCCCTACGTAACGTTGTTGGAGACAAGTTATGTCCCATCCGACTGGTGAGAAGATCGTAGATGCGCTTGTCACGAGTCAGATCCACAGGCAGAAGTCCGTCGCTGTTTGTGGAGAATATGTCAGCACCAGCCACAAGTAAAAGCTTGACCGCCCCTCTGCAGGTAGTCTTATTGTCAAAGTTAGTAAAAGGCAATGGAAAAACAAGACTAAACACACCTATGGCCCGTGGCTGCTGCGTGATGAAGTGCGGTAGAGTTATCCACGTCCCGACGGTTTATATTTGCTCCAGCAGCAAGAAGCATTTTGATTATTTTCTCCCTCCCAAGCCCCGCAGCAAGAATCAAGGGAGGAGTCTAGAAAAAGACAAGCATTGAGTGAACTTTAAAGAGCGAAAACTCAAGTTACCTTGGAATCTACCTCGCCATCCGGATTATAACCCCTATGCAAGAAATACTCTGCCATGGTGGGCTGTCCAATGGAGACTGCCTCTTCCAATGACTTCAAGCCCTGAACTGCAAGCAAAACGACCATCAACTCAAAAACTTTGGAAGCATAACATACTTGGATCGAGAACTGATGCTTGCTCGCCACCGTCTAGCGAGTCACTGTTGCCGACGGCAACTTTGCTTCGAGGAACACCTTCCTGATGCTCGGGCCTGCTTTGTCTTCTCTCTACGATCTCCTCAACCTGACGAAGCAGCTAAACTTTTAGTGCAGACTCTTTGAGAAACCAATACACAAGGAACCTCTTCTTGATGGCTGCATAGAGCGCTTGGACGACTGGAAGGGCCGGGTGTCGTTAAAGTTTCCCCAAAGTCCGAGTAATATCCATGCGGACTTACTTCTCTGGAGTTTCGACCGTGCCAGGGCCCGGAAAGAGGACTAGAAGAAGGCAAGCTTGGTGTCCGAGGGAAGGGCTGCCACCTTGTTGACGGGCTGGGAGTTCTAAGGTGAAGCGAGGTAACACTCGACATTGGTTCGTCGTCAGCGTGCGAGCCTGCGCTGTGCCGGGGGAGCGATAAATTTGGCGGCCTTGGGACCGGAGCTCGGGGAGGAGGCAAAAAACTTGGCGGCAGTGGAGGCAAAGAAGGCACTGGAGGAGCAACGAGAGAGATATGCTGTGGAGAAGATGAGGAGGAAGAAGAAGAAGAGGAGGAATGCTGGTGGAAATCGCGGATAAGAGGATGCGAAGGAGGCACGGGTGGCGGTGCCGAAGCGCTGCGGCCGGATTGGAGGCGGGTGATGAGAATGCTGTCGAGTGGATTGGAGTTGGAGTGGCGATGGAAATGAAAAACTGGATTTGCGGCGTCGGCATTCTCCGGCGAATGCTTGGAGTGAGTGGCGGCGGCATTCGCGTTTTGCTCATGCTGCGAAGGATTGGGAAACATCTCTTCACGAGTGCTGTGTTGCCATCGTCACTGGCACATCTGTGAGAAAAGAACCGAGCGGTTAGGGCAGGAGATCCTGGAAATCGAGCAATAAACGCCCCGCCAGCAGGATCATAGTGGGAGAGCTTGGCGCAAACGGGATTTTCCTCCAGTGCCGCTAGAGCAACGGATCATACCTCTCCAGAAGATCGCCGTGGCGGCGTCTCGCGCGGTGGAGTTCGCGGCCATCGCCATCGCCATCGCCGCTTGGAGAAAGAGACGCCCCGCCTTCCTCCTCGCCGCTAGGGGTAGCCCCCATTTTTGAATTTCCCAGACTAGGGCTGACGTCATACGTGTTAAAAGAATCCTTTACCTTTTTAATGTAACGGCCGTTAAACCCTCGATCTCCTGTGCTTTAGCTAGGGCGATCGATGCGCCGCGGCTATGGCGTCTCGCAGGTTGGATTGATCCGGCAGCAGCAAGGAAGAGTGGCTTTCATTTGCGATCGCGATCATCGATCGTCTCCACCAGGTTTAGCTGCTCGTTTCTTGCGAATCCCGGTTGAAATATGGGGGGCTCGATCCTTCTTCCTTCGTGTTCATCGATGATCACATTCACGATTGCCTGTGAGTGATTCCTCTTCTTCTTGTTTCGTAGTGATAGTAATGTTTCGATCTGATCGATGAACAGAAAAAATGAAAAATTCCTTCAACGACTAATCGAGCGTTTAGTTCGCGGGTGGTTTGAACAGATGTATCCTACGACTGAGAGTGATCCACATTGGTCTAAGCGATTCCGTTGAAGAAACCGGCAGTTGAGGTGCTGTCCTGCCCACTTGAAACCCCGCGAGAAAGGTTTGTTGCGCTTTTTTTGTGTGTTAGGGTGGTGGTGGGCTGGCTGGCTGTGGGTACATGGTTATCTCTCTCTCTCTCTCTTTCTCCATTGTGCTCCACCTGATTTACTCTAGCAGGTCTAGTGTGCTTGCAAGCTTGCGCTTTCGTGGTGTGAATTCTAGCGAGAGCTTGTGTTTTTGGAAGGGTGTTTCTTGGCCAGATACCAAAAGTTCTCTTTTGTGATTGTTGGAATCTGAGTTATTTTCTTGCCCGAAATGTAGGCTGCTCGGTGCCTTGGCGATGGGAACGATCTGAGCGCTCTCTGGTTGGTACTCTGGATATAGCTCTTGACAGCTGCTTAGCTGATACTGTTCCCCTCGGACAGCTTTCAGAAATGCTCGTCTGGGATATCCCGCAGAGATGACTATTCCGGATTATCCAGCCCAGGAGTCGCTCCCTTCCATCCCTTTTGAGGACTCCAATGTTCGTGTGGCGGTGCGAGCGAGACCACTTATCGAGAAAGAGGTCGTCGATAAGTGCCAGGAATGCGTCTCCTATTCCGCTGATGGAAGGGAGGTCGTGCTTGGAAAGGATAGAAGATTCACGTTTGACCATGTGTTTTGTCCAACGACAGCTCAAGAAGAGGTGTACAGAGTTTGTGTCAAGCCGCTAGTCGAAAGCTGCGTTGCCGGGTTCGTGAGCTCTCATTTATATTTCTTCGTTGATGGCTAACCATGCGTGTTTTTTTCTTCTTTTTTTTTGTTTGTAATCTATTCAGGTACAATGCAACAGTCATTGCTTACGGTCAAACGGGGTCTGGCAAGACGCATACAATGGGAAGTGCAACCAATCCAGTTTCCGGTGAAGAAGATTTGGGAATTCTTCCCCGTGCTATTCGTCAGCTTTATGAAAGTATCGAGGAAAGGAAACACGAAGCACAGTTTGATGTGAGGGAATTCTGCGTCAATTTGCAATTTGTATCTGATTCTAGCTTCGTCGTCGCAGGTTAAATGCTGTTTTGTGGAGATCTATAACGAGGAGATTAAGGACCTGCTTCATCCAGACACTCCCTCGAAATCAATCTCGATCAGGGAAGATGCAAATGGTGACATCATTCTTGCTGGGGTGAAAGATGAAGCAGTCTTCACCTACGAGGACATGATGAGGTAATTTATTTTTACGAAGTTGTATTCTGGGGTGATAGTTCTGTTCTTGTTGCAATGATGCTACTTACAGGTGTCTGGAACAGGGTTCAGCATTTCGAACAACAGGGAGTACACTCATGAATCAGCTCTCTAGTCGATCACACGCGATTTTCACTATGAACATTGAGCAGCAATCGCTTCAAACATTGAATGGACACGAAATTATCAGTGCTAAATTCCACTTGGTATGCACAAGCGCTCACTTTTGACTTGTCAATGACAAATTACTCTACTGTGCTAGGTAGATTTGGCTGGTTCAGAGCGTGCAAAAAGGACTGGAGCCGTAGGCATGCGTTTCAAAGAATCGGTAACTATCAACTGCGGGCTTTTAGCTCTTGGAAACGTTATCAGGTATGTAGTTCCACTAGGAAATAAAATACTCATGGATGGTCTTTTCACAGTGCCTTGGGAGATGAACGCAAGCGGGGACAACATGTTCCATATAGAGAATCAAAATTAACACGAATCTTGCAGGTACTAGCTAGCGTTTCTTACTATCATGAGTACGAGTTCATATGATTGCAGGACTCTTTAGGTGGTAACAGCAAGACATGCATGATCGCTTGCATTAGGTAACAACTTGAATTCTTAGAGTAGATTTTCAGTATGCAATTGCCAAACAGTACAGCGGATGTCAACTTTGAAGAGACCCTCAATACTCTGAAGTACGCCAATCGAGCTCGTAATATTCAGAACAAGCCTATAATTAACCGTGATGCTCACTCGGTCCAGCTAAACCAGCTGCGGTCCGAAGTTAAGGTACTTTTTCCTTTGTTATGGTTGGACGATACTGATAATAAATAAAGCTCTTGTGCAGTTGCTTCAAGAAGAGCTTATGAAAGCTCGAATGCAAGGAAATGGGGACGATGCATCTCCATTTATCCTCAAGGGCGAGTTACCAACAACCGAGCTGCAAATGTTAAGACAAAAGAGTACAAAAGTGGAACAGGAATTCCTGCATTTGAAGAAGGAATCTGAGGTAATTTTGAGTTTACACATCGCTTCTACCGCTGAAAATTGTTTCCAGGCTTCCAAAGTGCTACTGAAAAAACTGGAGTCGGAAACATTGCAGTTGCGGGCTGAGAGCAGTGACTATCAGGTCAGGAGTTTTTACTTTTTTGATTTAGTGAATGGTAACAATATTTTTTGGAACCTGCAGTAACAAGGAGATTTTTGGTTTTTGCTGGTCTACAGTTGAAGTTGGAAGAGGTGTGCACTGAAATGAGCTCTCTTCTTCAAGTGATTCCTCAGTGGGAAAGTAACAAAGATGTGACCACGGCTGCAAGAGTCTATTTGCTGGAGATGATGAAGAGAATACTATGCGCCTTGGGCAGAGCTGAGATGGCGACCATTTCTCCAGAGGAAGCTGAACGAAGGCTGTCTCCTGTGAAAGAGTTACAGTCGACAGATGTTGCCACTGAAACGGAGATAACACCAAAGGTTTGTGTTGTCTCCTACATGACATGTGCCTTACCTGTGTAGCACAGGTGGACGATAGTGCCGACGTTCAGCTTTTAACCAAACATTTAGAAACAATTCGTTGCTTGGAGGAACAGCTTGCTGCAAGAGACAGAGACGTCCAGGCTAAAACCGAAGAACTTATTGAAGCGAAAGAGGACCTTGCTCGGGACGAGCATATATTCACCGAGAAGATGAAAGAAATGCAAGCGTTAAAGAAACTCGCGAGAGACTTGCGCAAAGAAAAGGAGGAGCTTCTGCAGCGAGCTGAGGCAGATGCTACCAACATCACCCGCTTATCTGAAGAGGTTGCTGCAAAAGATAACGAGATCACTGATCTTAAGGCTCTTCAAGCTTCAAGCCAGGAAGCAACAGTAAATTCCTGCGAAGAAGTTCAAGCCAATGAACCACTAGAGGCACAGGTATTAATTATTCTTGCACACTCAGCCTTCAACATCAATGCTAACTCGAAACTGCAGAAGATTGAAGCATCGACTAAAAACGGCGAGGTTGATCAGAAGGAAGAGGTGATAATCGAGGAGAAAACGGAGGCTGATTCGGTGCATAAGGAAATCGAGACCCAAATAGTTGAACTTCAGGCGGAGGTACTCGTTTTCCATTGATTTCAATGTCGTTTTTTTTTCATGCTCATCTAGCCCAGATAAAGAAGAAAGAAGAAGAGGCGAAGTCCGTCAAGAGAGAACTGGACGCGCTAGACAGAGCTTCTGCCATAGGTAGAAACGGGAAGAAGCAGCTTCACGAAGAGCTGGAACAGCACCTTAAGAAACTCACGTTTAACCTGAAATTCTTGAAGAAGCAGCGCTGGCAGCTTGAATCTCAGCACCTAGAGCAGCAGAAAGTAAAAGCTGACGAGAAGGTACGTGTGGTTCTAGTCCCCAGTGTAATACTCAACTCTGCCAGCGCTCGTGCAGGTACAGCATCTTCAGCACCAGGTCACCCGAATGAGAGCTCAGCAAGACTCGCTAAAGAAAAAAATCAAGGACACAACCGAGAAGTTCGAGGATCGACAGCGCAGACCAGAGCAAACTAAAGAGGATGAAACAGGAGTAAGCATCTCTCTCATTTCATTCATTATGGAAGCTTACAGTGTCTCACACATGCTTAGCAGGAGCTCGTGAAGATCAACGGGCACGCGCCTGATCCGTCAGAGCAAGACGAGCGGAACAAGATTTACGAGCAAGGCGGTGAGACGTTACTCACCAATCTTGAGGAAATATTTGGAAGACTCAACCACCAAAGTGAAGTGTAAGGTCAAGTCGATGTTTATAGGAGACCCTGATCCTCGATTTATTACAAGCAGGCTGGATCAAAATGGCAATGCCGAGGAGCCTCGGGATAAGGAAAACGAGGAATACAAGAACATAAATGACAACCTCCGGCTAAAGCTTCAACGGGTTATATCCTCATGGTATGCTGAGAAGCAGGTGCGTAGTATCTAGTGATTCTAGTTCTAGCTCTAGTTATCTAGTTCCATAGTCTGTAGCTTTTGAGATCACGAACTTGTCCTCCCACGTTCCAGATCCAGAGCTCTAAGCCTTGCCTTTTGCGAACACTTTCCAGGCCGTGGAACAAACACTCCAGAGCGAACGGCTGGCTTGGGAGGTAAGAGTGAACCAACACGAGCAGCTGGAGCGCGATCACAAAGCTCTCCGGGAAGAGCTGGAGAACACGAGATCGCTCATGCACAAGGCGGGCCTGGGGATCAGGCTCTCGTCCCGGAGCGTCCGAGAGATCAGCGATGGCGACGTGGATCTCAGGACCTCCGTCTCGTTGCCGCCTTCGAGAGGTAGCTAGCTTCTTAGCTTTTGCAGCTTCTCCCAAAAGAAATTCCTTTCCAGATATTCAAATTCAAATGACGCATATTCGGGGGAATCGCACCTCCTGGGCATATGCCGAAAAGCTTTCAAGGGAACCACCAGCGAGGGCGCTCGTCCTCGTCGCTCGAAGAAGTGGCGTCGTCCTCGTCGCTCGAAGAAATGGCGTCGTGGGCTTCGCTAGTGGCGGGAGTGGCGCCGCTGGTATGATCAACAGGATCCACGGTATCGTCGACCAGGAACGTCGGCTTGATCACCACACCGTCGACGTAGAGCCCACTCTTCCAGTTCCCTCCGCGGATCTCCACCAGCGAGAACTCGAGCGCCACGGGGAAGTCCTCGTCCTCGACGCAAAACTCCCCGGCGTCGTACTCCATCCACCCGTCCTCCACCACTCTGGCCGCCGCCAAGTCGGCCGCGTCGATCCCGCTTTGCCCGCCGCGATGGAGCTGCCTGGCGGAGGCCAAGTAGCGGCGCCGCTCACGCGTGGAGGAGGGTGGGGCCGACAGCGAGAAGATCACGGGCTGGGCCTCCCAGCCGTAAGCGTCGTCGTGCCAGTCGCCCCCGCGGCCACGCCGGCGCGCGTGGCTCTCCAGGAGCTGCAAGCGAAACGAGACGCGGTAGCTCCCCAGCTTGAGGTAGCCGCTGAAGCTGCCACGAATCTCGAGCCAGCACACGTCCCGCAAGAAGGCCACCTCGTCAAACCTGGAAGTGGAGTTGTACCATCGCAAAGTCGATCCGTCGAAAAGAGGAAGAACCAACCTGGATCCGTTCATGGATCTCCAGTCCCAGTAGCGGCCGTCGTCGCCCCAGACGATCCGGAGAGCTCGCGCCGAGATCATGTTGCACACGCCACCTGTCGGCCGATCAATCCAATAGATCTGACAAAGAGCACTCGCATGAGCAGAGAAAACCTCTTGTATCCACCATACCTTTGGCTTGTCCTTCTCCTCCTCCACGAACACCCCCACGGAGAGCCTCTCGTAGACATCCATCGCGCTCCCGGCGCCATCGCGCACCACTTCCTTCCAGTGCGGCGGTAGCATTCGCCTCCATACAGCGTCCGATCGCGACGCCTCCAGGAACGTCTTGTTGACAAGCGCCAGCCTCCCGACATCGCGAGGCGAAAGCCATCCCAGAATCCCAGCCAGGCAGCCCGCGGGGAGGTCACCCAGCGAGAAATCCTCTTCTTCCCCCATCAATTTCCTAGGTTTCCACGTTAACTCTTCATATATGCTTAAAGCACGTCAGAATATTCCATCTTGGGCTCCTTTTTTTTAAAAAGAAATATAAATTTTCTTTTCTAATTTTGTAATGTTAGGAATTTTGATTGTGTACAAGGTTAAAATTTATTTTAAAAAAGCTGTTATTCATCTCCAGAAAATACATAATAATGCAATTAATGCAATTAGATAACAATGCAACTGCTAATTTTTTATGATCATGAAATTTAAATTTGATAGTTTGATTATATTTTTAATCCCTTTATAAAAATGTGCATAACCCTTAATATATCCACAAGATTTCTAAGAAAAGTTATTCAGATTGCTACCACATTTATATTAAATTTCATAAGCTGGCAATAAAGAATAATTCTAAATATATTGAGAAAATATAAATTGTCAGAATCTAAGAGTTCTTTGCAACACAAAAGATATTCTCCATACATTTTATATATATGAAAAAATAACTTTATCTTATTAGATACTAGTTATTGCCCAGCATATACTGCCCAGTTAGCAAACACTATTTTGATAATTATAGTTTTATTACATTGAAAATTAAATTGAAATAGTATCAAAACAACATATATTACATTCCACTTTGAAAGAAAAATTGAAAAAGTAACTATAAGTATATGGTTTTTCATAGAAAATTATCAAATTCCTTAGAGGGAATTATAAGATTTAAATAACATAGTAAGTCTCCATTGCAAAAGGTTGAATCTCAATATTAATTAACACTTTGCATGTTACATGTGTCACAATGTTTTTTTTTCTTGCCCTAATTAATACGTGTCGCAAATATGACTTTGAGTATTGAAAACTATTTATCAACTAACCCTTTCGGATATTCTTTCTTTACTGCCACGACGGCAAAAGGTTGGTATTGCTAGATCTTTTATTAATCCCTTTTGTGCTAGTGGAGTTATATAGGCATTTCGAATGTACTTAGACCGGATAAACATAAGGATGGAATTCTTACGTACTATTAATTAAACATACTTAGCTTGGTTGGGATGGGGCTATGGGGGGGTTCCAAATATATAGTAGAGATAGTGGGTAGGTTGGGCATGGCTAATCAACTTAAGGCATAGTTTAGTTTTTGCTTGCGTGTTTATTCTTGTTTTGCGTCCGACTTGGGTTTAAGCCCAAATTCTATACCATGCTAGTTGGTAGAGTACCCATATCCTTATGTTAGGCCACCAGTATATTGAAATAACGTTATACTCTTTTTGGCTCCATTTTACGTGCTAGTCCTGGCAGTGGGATGCTGAATGCTTTAAGACTATTCCAAGTCATTCCGTACTTCTATCCCTTTGCTCGTTGGATTATATACTTAAAAATTGCTTTATGGTCTAGTTTTGTCACTTTTTGTCTCCATATTTAGGAGTTTGGCTTTGTATCTTCATTTAATGGCCCAAGGCTTTGAAACTCAAGTTCCACACCATTGTCCTTTGACACATGGCATGTGACATGTAACACATGAAAGGTTTAAGTTCCAGTTCGTGGTTATTCTATGGTAAATCACCATAGGATAAAGGATAAAAACCATGTGCGCTACATTTGGTATCAGAGGATACGTCTCAGCAAGTACTATACAATGAGATTGAGCAATTGTCTCATTGTATATGCAAAGATGAAAATGATGATCCAAGTGGGTACATGTTTGGGTGCTAAAACTTCACATTCATTCCTTGGGTATAGATTTTGGTTACCTTTTATACCATATTGTGTGAGCTTGTGCTTGGGTTCATAAGATGAATTGAGATGTTTAGTTTGCACGAGTTTGCACTTGGGCTAACTCAACTTACCACTCAACTTATTTGAATGCCAAAATAGTTGCTAACTAGCAAATGCATGAATGTCAATAACACAAAGCTATACCCAAATCATTAACACTATCTTCATCAAAACTAATAAAACTTAACATCATATCTAAGGAGAGACATCTCATCTCACTTGAATCTCAATATCAATAATATCAATGATAAAGCATCACTTCAATATTATCAACACCATAACAAAGCTAACAAAAAGCAAGAATGAATTACCACCCAAAACTCTTTAGCAACAAACCTAACCAATGTTAAAAATACCTTAGTCAGTATTTGAGATTAATCCTTCAATTATACTCAGTTTTAAATAACACATCATCAAGGAGTGATTCACCAAGTCCAAGACTCAATGAAATCCAACACTACGAACTAAACGCAATCAAATGATATTGACAAAGGTGGAATTGATATGCCAACATAGAAAAACTATGCAAGTTTAACGACACAATCCTTTGCAACACCATCTGGTAAAGCAAGCCTATCATTGCCAAATCATCATTGAGCGAAGCAAGTATCAAATGTCATTGACAAAGTCTACAAACAATCACTAGTTGTTAAGCAACTAACAATCACTCTTTCAATTTATCTTCTATAAAACCCAAACACTAAACTCGCATCATTGAGTTATATACTTACACTAGGTATGAGATAAAGGTTTATGGACAAGCACAAACTAAATGACCATTCGAATCTAACTCAATTGCAATATACTTACTAATGCATTTAGCCAATAGCTTTGAGTATGCTTTGAAGAAGCTAACTATGCATGATTAACATTTAGTCGAAACTAAAGTGAAAACCATGAGATGGACTCATATTAGTACACAACCTCCTTATAAACAAAACTATAGGATAGGTATTAACACCTCAATCTCAGACAACTTAAGTTAGACATCTATACTCAATCAAGGTGCAAGACCACCAAGACCAAATCAAGATTAGTGAAAGCTTATTACTTTCATAGAGTTTAATGAAATGCAAGGTGCAACCTGCTACCAAGCATAACGCTATAAAAGAAAAACATAATAGCGCAATAACCACTTTTCCACACTAATTCTAGACTCTATCTAACTCAATTGCCTTAGCCCCAAAAGTCAGCATCCCTTTCAAGTTGCATTATACAAACTACCTACTAAAGTTTAAGTTAACCAAAGTCAGCTCCAACCCCTTCACTAATTTGTACTGACTTATGAAAATGAAATGGTTTTTAAGCAAAGTGATCAACAAATCAGCCATTGGAAAAGCCTAAGAAAATTTATGAAAAATTTTCCATCCTAGAGAAAGAATGACTCTTAGTCTAGGAATACAAACTTTCAAGACTCAATCAACTTCCTTCTATTAATAACTTCATATAAGTTCACCTCAACACAAATTCTCAAGACCCATAGTATATTTATGCCCATATTTTCGATATCTAACACTGACATTCACTAAATGCAAAATAAATATTCAAGGCTTGATCATAAATACCATATCTTTGGATATTCACAATGCATTAACACTCTTTTTCAATCACCTCCAATATTTAATGTGAAGCCAAAGCACTAACAAAAAAAAAAAAATAAAACATCAAGGTTTAAGGAAAATTCTTCATCACTCAAAATAACAATGCCACTTCCACTAACACAAATGTTAACAATACCAATGCCTTAACGTCACACTTTTACTATCCAATAATTTATTCCAAATGCACCAGATTCACCAACAAGTTATAGAAAGTGAATGCTATAACCGGTTTTAACACTTTATGGGCAAACCCTCAAGGAAACAGGATACTAACTTAAGCTTAGCATATTATAAATCACTATTGAAAACAAAGTCAAAACTACTTCAATGCTATTACATATAAGTAAACTAACTTCACTATCAACCACATTGGGATTGATCATCGTTTGACCAAGCAACTTTGTAAACACATTGCTCATTATCACATGGATATGATATAAAATCACAATGATAATTGAGCAACATCATGAACAAGCCCACATTATTATTTCAAAAGTTTATGTGAGTATCAAATGCTTACTCTATTTAACAAAATGCAATATAAATGTTACACTCCACCGATAGAAATTTACAACACCAAATACCACCAACTTTACAAGGTTCCCTAAAAAAGAATTGAATCTTCAATAACAAGCTTAGGTAAAATGGTTTAGTGTTTTATTACTATCCATCCCACAACTCACCACTTGTAAAACCATCACTTCCAATATGCATCAAGATAGGGACTTCTTGATTACAAATAATCACATTGAAAGCCAAAATAAAAAGTGACTTATTGAATGAAAAATCAACTATTGCATACTCATAAATGTTGGATAGCCAATGGAGGTGGTTTTCCCTGCGTACTCCACTATCCTGTTGCAGCTTCTTCTTGTGAGATGCATTTGTGGTAAATTCAAGCTCTGATATAGATGCAAAAATCTCATCAAGACTTCTTTTTTCTATGGGCTCCATTGAGTTGTGCAAAATATCATTGTGTTTCTAGTGTGTTCCTTCCTTAGTCATAGGAGTTTTGCATTTCCTACAAGCATATTTCCCACCTAGTATAGAATAGTTAAAGGCATCCATAAGTTGCTCAAGTAAGCAAACCACAAACATTAAATATCTAAATCCAAAAAGTACCTACAAATAGTTTCAGCAACTTGTACTAGGCTGGATGATCAGCCGAAATGACAAGTAGAACTCTTTGTTTGAATTTTCTAGGCAGACCACCATATTCTTGCAGATGAAGTGTATACTCCACTTCCACACCCTTGACAAACAACTTAATTAACTCCTTCACAAGTAGGTCAAGGAATGCATTTAGACTGTCCATTCCATCTTCAAATTCAGACTTTGAAATATACATGACTGGTAGAGTCATGGTTGTTGCTGAAGGTCCTTCCAGCCCAAGATTCAAAACCTTCACATTCATTGCTCCAGAACATTCATTCTTTGTTTGGTTCTCACAAACTGAAAGCTGTCCCAATGTAGTTGCATCGCTATGTTCCATGGATCCCTTATAAGCAGCAAATGTGGTGCCTGAAAGCTGGATAGACAATGTGGGCACAAAATGTTGTACATACCCCTACCATCAGGTTGGAGAGATTGCATGCAAGCATTTGTGACTAGCCATATGTGGATGTGTTCTTCATAGGATGGACATTGAAATGGCAATTTGTATTGTTGATTCGGGTCAAAGAAAGCTTGGCACTACCTCCAAGTACTTCCCTCCTAGCAGTGCTTCAAAAGCAGCCCTACCTCTCCAGGCATCTTTTGCTCTCCATGGACAGAGATCCTCCCAGCAGATGGATTTTACCTTTGATCTGAGGCACAAATGTGATGCTATAGGGATGTAGTAGGAGACTGTGCTAGTATTCCTGCTTCACAAAATGTACACTCCTCCTTGTAGACTACACAACTTAGTCTTGGAAGCAAAATCGTAAAGTAAAACTCAACAACACTAGTTTTTCACTTACCTGCACGTGCAATAATCAAGTCTATTGCCAAAAGTGTAAGCTGGCATGTCCTTATGACAACACAGCACATGTCTCTCTACCTTTGGCATGATTGATAAGCAAATGATCCAATAATCTGGAAGAGCAAGGCACCTTCAATTCCCCTAATCTACCACTCCATGAAGGATAAAATACTTGAGCAAAGATTACTTCCCCTATCCCAAACAAAGCCTATAGAATCTTAGACCGCAATGCTTCTGAGATGTGACCATTGTCAAATAGGTTGCACAGTCAGAACAAGGACCTCACTGCTATAGTTTCCAAAGGGGGGATTGTTGTTGATCCACTAATTTCTGAGGCAACATGCTTCCCCTTCTATCTCTTCAACTCTTTGGGTATCTGGATTTGACAAAAGATCTTCAAATTCCTCATCCCCATTGGCATTTTCACTAGAGAAGTATGTGGTGAAATTGTTGATCACTTGTGTGATTTGCCCCACATCCTCACCACCTCCTTCATGCATTTCAGGCAGAATGGAAATATGGAAAAGCTACAACCCTAAACACCAATATGTACACTCAAATTCCAGAGTCTAAGTGGGATTTTCATATTGAATAATGGTTTGTGAATGTGGCAAATACCAAATTGTGTATCTTGAAATGGCACCAAGCATCCTTTGGTTAATGAACCAGCTGCTAGCCTTCATTAGCATCTATGAGCTACACAAGAATACCACTCAAACTCAAAAGAGAATACATTGTCAATGGGAAACAAGTGATCAGGAGTGCCTGACAATGGCATCAATGGTGAAAGCCATCTATTAAAACATGTTGATCCAGTGTAAGCTATATTTGTCAATGTTAATTTTGGTCAAATGTAGATTTTTTAGTAGATCTAGTTTATATAGGCATATTTGTCGCAAATGTAACTACGGGTATCAAAAGTTACATGTTAATTAATCCTTTCAAATATTCTTTCTTTACTGTCATGATGGTAAAAAGTCGGTATTGCTAGATCTTTTTTCAGTCTCTACCCAAGTTAGTTGAGAAATTAGTCTTCACATGTGCACTTGGTTAGAAGGGTATAAGGACAGAATTCCTAAATGCTATTAGTCAAGTATACAAGACTTGGTTAGAGAAACTCATTTGTTGGCTTGCACTTGTTACTGTTAAAAAACCTTTGCAATATTAAGTTTGGTCCCTTAAAACTCGCTAGGTGATAACTTACCACATCCGTCAAGACACTCTCACTATCATACCTTTATATTAGTTTTGTCTGGTCCCATTAGATATTTATGGAAAGTGTTTAGATTTGCTAATTTAGAATATTCATGAAAAGAGATTATTCTAAATACGATGGTGTTGCTCTTGTGTCTAAATTCACAATCTAAAGCCATTCCATATTTAATATATTTTCATGATTGTCCCAAAAACTAACTCCTGGGATTAGGCTGAAAGCCCAAAGTATGTATTCCTCAAAGGGGGTGGGGTGTGTGGATTCTAAATGTATAGTAGTTAACAAATTTAAGGAATAGTTTAGCTTTCACTTACATGTCTATTCTTGTTTTACTTTTGGTTTAGGTCTAAGCATAAGCTCTATACCATGTTAACTGATGGAGTATTTATATCCTTGCATTAGGCCATGTGAGACACCCTAAGCCCCAAAGTGGAGCCGAAAGGGTGCCACGTGGTAGTGGCCGAAGCGAAAGCCAAACAAGCATAACATGTTTGAAATAAAAGCTCCGACTTGAAAGGTCAAGAGTGGGAGTGGAACTCCCAATGACGTGCTTGAGGAACAAGCACAAAGCAAGCAATAAGTGAGTCTCTAGAAAAGGGACACATGAGGACCTGAGATGGACCTGAGATGGAGTCCGAGATGGACCCGAGATGGACCTAAGATGGAGTCTGAGATGGAGTCCGACATGGAGTCTGAGATGGACCCGAGATGGACCCGAGATGGAGTCCGAGATGGACCGAGATGGAGTCTGAGATGGACTTGAGATGGAGTTCGAGAAGGACTCGAGATGGAGTCCGAAGTCGAGATCAAGATCGAGACCAAGACTGAGATCGAGACCGAGACCGAGACCGAGACTGGGACCGGGACCAAGACCGAGGCCGAGGCCAAGGCCGAGATCGAGCCCAAGCTCGAGTCCGAGTTTGAGTTCGAGTCCGAGTCTGAGTCTGAGTCCAAGTTCAAGTTTGAGTCTGAGGGGGTGAAAGCCCAAAGCGTTTGTCTCCCAGACACTAGGGGGTTTGGTGAGCTCCAAAAGTATAGTAGGGGGAGGATTCCAGTGGAGCTAGTTTGGCCAGGAAAGGCCAATTCTTTCCCAGGAAGGCTGTACCCAGGTGTTGGGTGATAGGGTAACCATTGGGAAGTCCAAAGCTAGAGTGAATACGAACTGACAAGCAAAATAGCTTGGTGAAGTGTTCAAAAGCCAGCTCTAGTTCTGTCGCGCATGTGACTTCAGGTATCGAAAGTTACCTGTCGGCTAGTCCTTACGGACACTCTTACCTTACTGCCACGATGGCAGGAGGTCGGTATTGCTGGACCCGTTATTAATCTCCGCCTAAGCTAGTTGAGAAACTGGTCATCACATGTGCACTTAGACCGGAAGGGCACTAAGGAAGGAAATCCTAAGTTGTCATTTAATCAAGCAGACTTGACACGGTGATGAGAAACTCATGATGTTGGCTTGCACTTGCTAGTGTTGGGAACCCCCGCGATATTGAGATTGGTCCCTCAATATCGCTAGATGATAGCTTACCGTGTCTGCCAAACACCCTCGCTATCATGCCCTTTGTGTTGGTCTCATTTCGGTCCTAAATGCTATTTATGGAAAGTGTCCAGATTTGCTCATTTAGCATATCTACGGAATGTAGAGATTGGCCTGAACATAATAGTGTTCGTCTCGTGTCCAAATTCGCAATCTAAAGACATTCCATATTTAGTAAGTTTCGAGCTTGTCCCAGAGACTAACTCCTGATACTAAGGGAGGTTTGGGGTGAAAGCCCAAAGCGTGTGTTCCTCAAGGGGGGGGGGGGGCTATGGGGGGTTCCAAATGTATAGTAGGGATAGTGGGTAGGTCGGGCATGGGTGACCAACCTGAGGCATAGTCTAACTCCCGCTTGCGTGCCTGTCCTTGTTCTGCGTCCGGCTTGGGTCTAAGCCCAAGTTCCATTCCATGCTAGCTGGTGGAGTACCCATGTCCTCGCGTTAGGCCACCGGTATGCTAAAATAGCGCCAGACTCCGTTTGGCTCCGTTTTGCGTGCTGGTCCTGGCATTGGGATGCTGGTTGCTCCAGGACTGTTCCAAGTCGCTCCGGGCTCCTGTCCTTTCGCTCCTTGGGCTGTATGCTCAGGAGTTGCTCCGTGGTTTGGTTTCGTCACTCCTTGGCTCCATGCTTGGGAGTTTGGCACCGTTCCTTTGTTCAGTGGCCCAAGGCTCTGAACCTCGGGTTCTTATGGACACGTGGCATGGACACGTGGCATGTGACACGTGGCATCTGTCACGTGGCACAAAGAGGGTTTAGGTTCCGCTTCGTGGTGTTATCCTATGGTAAATCACCATAGGATAAAGGGTCAAAACCACGTGCGCTACATTTGGTATCAGAGGATGAGTCTCAGCGAGTACTATATAATGAGATTGGGCAACTAGTCTCGTTGCATACGCAGAGATGAAAACGATGATCCGAGTGGGTACACATTTTGTGCAAAGGGTTCACATTTGTTCCTTGGGTATGGTTTTGGTTACCTTTTGTACCTAACAATGTGAGCTTGCTCTTGGGCTCATAGGATGGATTTGAGATGCTTCGTTAGCACGAGTTTGAGCTTGGGCTCGTGAGTGAGGCGCATTAGCAACTTGAGGTTACACTTTGAGTTGGCAAGATTAATGTTAACCTATCGGTGGTTCCATGAGTTGTTCCATGTACCATGAGTGAAAGCAAACCTTCCCTGGGTTTACTATAAGTGGGAAATAGGCTGGTCTGTAACTGTTTAGCACGGCACTAGTGGATCCTTCCTAGGCATGATTACAAGTGGATCAACTGGGGATGGTCCAAAGTTGAGTTGAGCTCATGAGTTGAGCTCAATTCAACACAAGTCAACTCAAGTCAACATAGTCAATAAGAAATATTACAAAGGAGATCTAAATTGAACAAATGAAGGTTCTAGCAAACTTTAAAATATTAAAATACATAAATATCTAAGTTAAAAGTTTCTATAAGATTGAATTGTTTAAAAAAGACAAAGTTCATGAGAACCTATCTTTTATAAAACTATATTATTTTATTATGACAACTGTTACAGCTGTCATATTTGATTTGACTACTTAATATTTTGAATACTTTTACAGCTGTAGATACTATTCCTTCATTCAAAAGAGTTTTTAGGGTTCTTGAGAAGATGGGAAGCAAGGAAAATACAAGATCTGTGAGTAAGAGTTGTAGTGCAAAGGAATGTGAGAATGTTAATTTTGTTTCACTACCACAATCTCCATATTACACTCCTGGTCCTTATTACCCATCTGGGAATGTGGAGACCACTATCACGATTGATAAAAATGCTCCTGTTACTTCTGAAACAACAGTCCAGAGCAAGAGAAATGAAGAAATGAACAGCACAGCGGAAAGCACCAAGAAATCTACTCCATAAAACTTTCCATGACATTTGTAATTTACATATTAATTCATATTAAAAACTCTATTGCTTGCCTATATCGCAATCCTCTCATATGATAAGACCAAGGTATATTTTGCAGTGAATCCTCATTAAAAGTTTTTGGGAATTGTTTGTAAATAATGATAAAATAAATCAAAATCTTTCGAAAGACTCAAAAGTAATATCACATCAAAGAATCAACTTTATCTACATTTCCAAGACTAAAAGGCAATCTCACATGAGAGAATGGTAGCGTGCCAACGTGCTCTACCACTATAATATGGTCTATATTTCCTTGCAATTTATTTCCGTAGACATTTGGCATGTGTAGAAAAGAATATATGTGTAGTAAAGTAGGATTCATTATAATGATAGAGCATGTGTATACATGATAATCTAAAATTCTAGAAGC